TTACATGCCATCCCTCCGCGCTTGGCGATGGCAGATTGCGAAATCGTTGGCAAGATTGGATGTTCTTGGCAACTCGTTATCGTTGCCGGTGCCTCCCGAGTGCGAGTGCGCGCATTGCAGCGGGGGAGCTAATACAGACGACCAACTTCCAGGATTGTTGATTAAAGCGTTGCCCGCACTTCTGACGTTTATCGAATCATTCACTCAAAGTCTGGACAGTTTCCCACCGGCACGTCGGCATCCGGCGGATGCGGTGGCCGACCTGTCGCGGAGGATCGGCGCTATCGCTGCCGTCGCCGAACGCTGGCCTATCTTGGTGAATTAGTCTCGGCAAAGGTGCCGACACAAGCTTAACCTGAAAGGATTTGGGGTGCGATGGCTCGTCATTTGTGAGTTGTCTATGGTCGTCGACCCATCCCGTCGGGAAGGCTTGTTCAATTCTGGCACTCGCAGCCTCGGGCCGGAGGAACACTCCGTTGGCCTAGGTGCCGTTGTCTAAGCATCCCTAGTTGCATCCAAGAAGCAACTAATTTGGATGAATTTGAGTATTTTATCAGTTCATCATACAAACAGCATCGTGTTCCGTCACTTTGACAGACCTAACCGATGCCGCTAATTGGGAGAACTACGTCTCACTGATAAGACCAGAATAGCCTGCGGGCAAGACCTGCGGCCCCCGGCTTGACGGCGAAGTGTGTCAGAACACCACAAACGTTTAGTGCCAAGGTTTTCTGACTTTGAAAGTGTTCGAGACGTCCGCATCCGGATATACTACCTCGTCAGCGATGTGGCCGGGGAGGTCATTGTCGGCGGCGGGCTCATCTCCCGCAGCAGGCGGGGTGCCGCGCAGGCAAGATGCACAGAAGCCAACGTCTAGATCAACCAAGCTGTCGGAAAAAGCACCCAGTCGCGTGGGCGAGCTTCTCCTCCCTGACAAAGGATGAGTCCCAGGCCCTACATGTGTTGGTGATCACTCATCTGCTCTGTGGCGCACCTGAGCTATGCTGCATCCGGCGGCTGATTGCCACCAGTCTTGGTCCCAGGCGAGATGCGGCCCAATATGGGTTTCAGAGAGCACAGAGAAGACAGAGAATCATAGTCAGATATGCTACCACGACCTGATGGAGAAAAGCGCTGATAGCCAGACATGCGAGTGGCGTTTCCCTCTTTGGGACTGTGGACTGATCGAGACAATACTGGCTGGTGTTGAGACAAAAAAGGCCTTCGAGCCCGGTGAACCTTCCAACAGCCGCAGCTTCTTTGTAGAGGCCAACGGACGGGCGTAGACTAGAACCCAGATCTCAAAGACCTCGCATTGTCTCTGGAAAACGATGAATTCCACAGCATACTTGTATGGGCGTTTCCTGACTCTGATGATGACCTGCCATCGTGAATATCTTCCATCTCTCGCCTCCTCGCCAAGAACGTTTCAGATCGTCTTTCGGTAATTGTCCAGATCTTGCATGCTTTCTTTCTAGCTGAAGGATCATGCAACTTTGCAAATCGCCAGCCATTGGATATTTCCTGTCAGTGGTGGATCGTTGGGAATAGCTGGTGTCAATTCGCCTCCACAAATACGGCCGCGATGATGGTCGACACGGATTGGCAGTTCGCCACGACGCTCCAGCGCGAGAGCTGGATTCTATACTCCATTGGTATGGCGCTGGTCGTTATGAGATTGTAAGTTGACTGCATTCTCCCCCTGTTGAATGGGAGACTGATTTCAGTATTCTAGATATAGCAGAGCAAGACGACTTGGCGGGGTGCAGCATTACCAGATCGACGATTATCTACAATTAGTAGCAATAGTGAGCCTTCCCAACGGACATACCACGACACAAGCCGGGGACGTTGCTAATCTCAGCTCGGATTCAGTGTCTATTTACCGCTCTAATAGCATTGCTAAACATCATCACCGAAAACGGCGGCTCGAATCTGTTCCCTATCGAGGACTATGCCACCTTCTCCCCTCAGGACATCCAAGCAAGAATCGCAAACTCGAAGCTGGTTCTCATTTCGGAACAATGTATGCTTAACCTAATCTACGTCCTCAAGGCATGCGTTCTCATCCTCTACACCCGCCTCACGCTCAACCTCTCCACGAGGCGCTTCGTCCGCTGGCTGGCATTGTACGTCGTCATCGGCTGGACTGCGACGCAGATCACAATGTTCTCGGCATGCCACCCGTTCACCGACTACTGGGCCGTGCCGCCTTCCAACCCCCAATGCGCGACCTTCGAAACCTACGCGATTCTACAAGCATGGTTCAACATCTCATCCGACATGTTGATGTTGATGGTCCCGCTGCCTCTGATCATCAGGATGACGGTATCATGGAGGCAGAAGGTGGTTCTCGTCTTCATCTTCAGCCTCGGCATCTGCGTTATTGTCGCAGCATTCTTGACCAAGGTCTACAACCTTAGCGACCCGTACAGCCCCAGGTACATGTTATGGTACATCCGGGAGGCGAGCGTCGCGGTCTACGTGTCCAACCTACCTCTCCTATGGCCGCTCCTGAGAGAGTGGTTCCCTTGGCTGAAGAACCTTAAGACAGTCGGTGTCTTGCCAACGCCTCATCCTGCCGGGGCCTCAGGGCCGAAAGGAAAGGAGACAAACGTGAAGTCGTCAACAGCGGTGGGCGAGGGGAGCCAGGTCGGACCCGCAGGGTGGCCTGCCGGGACAGCAGCGGTCATGAAAAGGGACACGTTTCTCGAGTTTGGCGCCTGGATCCGCGCCGGGGATCTGGACCTACAGAAGCCGTCGCGGGCGAAGCTTGCGAGCCCTAGCACCGAGCTCTTCCTGGAAAGCGGCACCGCGACGCCCATGAGCTTGCTGACGCCGGAGAAGAACCGCAAGAGTGCGTCGTCGGCGTCGCCGTCGCAGCATTCAGGGGCCACGATTGAGGAGTCTTACGTCGGACAGTCGACTGCCGGGGGCGTGATGCTGGGTCCGGATCTTGAGCGGGGCGACTTTTCCTGGGAGACTCCTCAGTCGCCGAGCAGAGTGTGGGCGGGGGCCACGAGTTCGAAGTTCTCTTTGTCGTGATTAAGATGTCAATGTCATTATGGAGATGGCTCTTTGTTCTTGGATGAGCGCTTTCTTTTTGTATGTTTAGGGATACCCTGGGTCTGCTAGATGGCGTTGCGAACATGTACAGAGAAATGAAACAAAATATTCCCGTACGCTGTGGTTCCCATGTCTGTCGCTGGGCTGTCAATGTTGTCAGTTTTGGGTATGACTTGCGGGCGGAGACAATGTGGCAGTTCGTGTCGGTACTGTCAGAAAGTGACAGATCGAGAACCTGGCGTTCGAATGCGCGTTCGAATGCCGCAGAACCGTCTTCTTTGCAACTTCGGCGGCCGATCACGTTTGATGGTGCCCAAGAGGTTCATGTCACGACTGGTTGCTCTCGGCAGATTCATGTCGTACTCGCGCGACTCGACCACTGTGGAAGTGCGACAGGGATATCTAACCAACTCCAAACACTAAGATAGGAACTTCGCTCGATCTCCGACACTCCTCGGGTACTTCGTGTTGAGCAAGTCACATCTGTCTCTATGGGTACCGCTGCAGATCGCAAGACCAAGCCAACGACCTGCTTTCCACTTTCAGTTTTCGGGCAGAAGACGTGAGGTATTCGTTGGCACAGTGAGATATTTTCTTGTCTCGTGACTTCTTCTCTCTCGAGTCTCTCAGCATCTCGATGATGACTTCTATGAGTGAAGATGATGTTGAAAACTGAGAGGCAAATCAAGCCGGGGTCGGTGTTATTCGTATCGATCCCGAGTAAATCTCCAAGTCTGACGCTTCCACTCTCATTGCCTTGGCTGTGAATTGCCCCTCACATCCAAACCCGCGGCATTCTGAATTTCCACCCGCCGCGTGTTCGCAAATTTGACCACCGGACGTCCGAATGCCTCACCCTGGAAGTCGGCAGCCACGGTGGCTGGTGAAGATACACGACAGATTTGTGGCTAGATAGGTGGTCAGGAGTGTGGTCCATTCCCTGTTTATTTCGGTAAGCCCTCGGTGAACAAAATACCGCTTGCCACCATCACGAAGCGATCAACTACCACCACTCAGGCTGAAATGTCTTGATGCCCGGGGCAGACGCACTCCAAAGTAGGCGCAACAGTCGCACACAAAGGAAATGAAATAAAACTGATTTAGCAGGTGAATCGTGCCATCGGTTGGAAACAAAGAATGCAGATAAAGCTTTGAAACCCGCATGAGCAATAGACGTCCATGGTTTTCAACAAAGGCAGGATCTTTCCAGAATAATCTCCTCTGTTGCGTCACAAAGACATTTGGATCTAACGTGATGCAGTCCTCAAGAACCTTGATAACGATGCCTGTCTTTTGGTCTTGGTTGATGAGCGTTGTGAGTCTATATGTGCCACTCAGCTAGGCACCCAGCCAATCGATCGCCACGACTATGGCTATTACGAAGTCCATGAGACATCTACATGTATTGACACTGAACCATCTTTCATTATTCCCAAAGTCAAGAGAGGTTTCAACTGGACTCAGTGGTTTAGTAGGAGGAAGCCAGTACTCAGCCCCTTCAGACCACGTCCAGCCCTGGCCCCTGAGCCAGCCAGATCTGCTCAGCTGCCTGGAAATCCATGGTGATGTTCTCCCATGCAAGATACCGAAAACTGAGTCTTGCATCAATGCCATTTTGCTAATTACAATGACGGACCTGGGGCCATTCGTCTTCAATATCTGCGGAGTTAAGTCCAGGCATCGCACCCATACTCTTTCCTCACTCAATCACCGCAACTTGCAGCCTAAATACCATCGACCATGATGCCATACTGTCTCTCGACGTCGCCCCTTTGTCACCCAACATTATATCATCCCGCCGAAGATGACAATCTTCATGTCGCCGTCCTCCCTCCTGTCTGCATTCACCCGGCAAACCTGCAAGGCGACCATCACCCACACCCGTTCACCTCGTTCAATCAACACCGATTCCAAACAAACCTCCCGCTTCCACGATGCTCTTCAACTGCCGCGCTAAACCACAGCCGCCTCCTCCACCTGCCGCTTCCCCGCCGGAGCCGCGATTCCGGTGCATGTATCCAAACTGCACTCGTAAAGCAGTCAAGTGCGAGCAGAAGGCCAAGGGCCACCATGCGATGCAGTCGCTCTACTGCAAAGACCGTCAGTCTTCTCTTGTGTCCGTTTGTTGCTTTTGATTTGCTGACGCTCTCTTCGCAAGACGCATGCCGCCAGCGCCTCGACGACATGATGTGCCCGAGCCCGAAGGAATCCAGCATGGCCAAGTACTGCAACGACCGTAAGCTCTCTCCCCTCGGCTGTCCCTCATCGGCATCATCAGCTGACAAGCATGCTTCATGAGACCGCCGATGTCAGTCTGAGGGCTGCTCCCAAAATCGCCTCCTGGCAGAGGTCAACTCCGACTGGCCCTACTGTGAGAAGCGTACGTCTCCTTCACGATCACCATTCATCCTCCCTTCCTCTTATTCCTCTTTTCTCGATCCCAATATTCACATCAGACAACCTGGACTGACCTGTTCCCTCAGACACCTGCACCTCCAACGGCTGCCGCCAGAAATGCTCTGCCACCTCCAAGATGTGCGCCTCCCACACGCCGCTGTGCCTCATCCCCGGCTGCGACACGCCGCGCACCGATCATGGCCTCTACTGCCCCTGCCACAGCTGCTCCGACGCCGACTGCACCGCCGTCATCAACGGCGGCCACTGGTGCAAGCAGCACCGGCTCTGCAAGACGGACGGCTGCGAGCAGGGCAGGGCCGTCACCGCGGGCGGACGGTTCGAGGACTTCTGCTGGAACCGTGAGTCCCGGCTCCTTTCTCGCAATATCCCATACATCATACTCACAAAACCACACCCCAGATCTTCCCAAGGCTTGTCTCGCAGCAGGTTGCAAAGCCATCATCAGCGGCAGCGTGCGCTTCTGTCCCCAGCATGAGTGCATGTACACTCCCTGCCACGAGTCCAAAGACAACGTCCACGACCAATCCCGCCTCTACTGCGCAAGCCGTACGTCCCACCTCCCTCCCCCTATCCTGCTCTCCCAGCTAACAAGAAGCTAGATACATGCCATCAGACTTCCTGCCCGCAACCAACCTCAAACCCCTCCTCCCCTTCCCTCGCGCGGTACTGCATCACGCACACCTGCGCCTCGCCCTCCTGCTACCACCCCTCCAAGCCATCCTCCCGACACTGCGCGCTCCACGCCTGCCTGTCCCCCTCCTGCCCGGCCCCGCGCACCGCAGACCCTCTCTCTGTCCCAGCCGCGCAGTTCTGCTCTTCTCACGAGTGCATCGCCCGCTCCTGCTACGAGGCCGCGGGCATGAACGACAGCGGCTACTGCGATGCCGCGCACGCGTGCGCCTCCCCGGGATGTCCCGTCCCGCGCGGCCCCGACGGCGGGTGCTGCGTGATGCACGCGGCGATCATGGCCCGCCCGGCGCCGCCGCTGTCGAGCACCGGCGCGACGGTCGGCGTCGGCGGCAGGGAGCGGGAGCGGGAGGGGAAGTACTACAGCCACATGGAGGAGACGCTGGGCCAGCGGCTGCGGGCTGAGAGGGAGCGGCACGTGGCGGAGATGCGGCTGCAGGAGGGCGCGTGGCAGGCGGCTGGGTTCGAGAGGCGGCGGGGACGGAGGGAGAGGGTGAGGAGCTGCGATAGCGGGTATGTGGGCAGTCCGAGTGTGTCTGATGGGAGCAACTGCACTTTTGTGAGCTAGACGTGTGATGAGATTGGTGGGTGTTGGGTTTGTGAGAACTGAATTTGGGTGGGATGAGAGATATGTTCGGAATAGACTTGGGATGGTCATCTGTTTCATGATTCTGCCAGAAAGTTTTAATTTTATTTGACTGCTTAACGAGTGACATCTGGCATTTCTGATATTGAGTTAATGAGCGGACGGTCATGTGTAGACCAGCAAACGAATTCCAAGCAAACAAACACACTGCTCGAAAGCGGTAGCCCTTTCAAGCCGTGACCGACGAACTAAAAGAAACCAACAAACTCGAAACCAACGAGATGGACGCAATAGCATCCACAAGAAAGAAAACATGCTCGAAAAAGGTCGCGATGCGACGGGGTTGACACATGTCATCCCTACTAAGGTCCCATCGAGGTCCTATGGGATGCCTCACCGCATCCTCTCAGACGCGATGAGACCGCGGGCTATGTCAAGGCGACACCGGCAGACGCAGGTGGGCGGGATCAATTCACCAAACAGGCCAGACTTCGACATCCAACCCAACATGGATTCCACCATATCCCGGCCGTGAGCAAAAGATGCGTCTGCCAGCCGAACGCGCCTAAGCCCACGCCCCGACGAGACTCATGCCGAACGCGCCGAAAAAGACGAGCAGGCAGGCGTACACGCGCTTCCGGCCGCGGAGGATGCGCCAGCTCTCGTCGGACAGGAAGTCCTCGGCGAGCAGCTCGATAAGAGCAGCAAACACGAGTAGGCCCGAGGAGATGGCGTTCATCGTGCCCACGAGGATAAGACCAAACTCGGAGTCTGGGCTGTAGAGGCGGTGGGTGGCGAGGCCGATGGCTTGGCCGATGGGGGTGGTGCAGCCGTAGGCGAGGGCCATCATCCAGGGCTGCAGGCTACCCTCAGGCCAGGAGATGGAGGCGATGCGGGAGCCGAGGGCGAGGCCCTCGAAGGTCTGGTGGAAGGCGATGGCGATGAGCAGGATGACAAACTCATGGCCGACGGAGACGCTGAGAGTCATGCCGATGAAGACGGAGTGGAAGAGGATGCCGACCTCGAGCATCATGCACTGGAGGATGTCCTTCTGGTGCTGCTGGGCGGGGGTGAGGACGATGCCGTGGGTGACACCGACGATTACGGCGCGGGACTCCTCGTCGACGCGCTTGGCAAGCCTGTCACCGGCTTGCTCGTGCGCTTGGTCGTCGCGGCCGATGCGGGAGAGGGTGCGGCCGATGCTGTTCCGGCGGGCGCCGCGGCTCGGGGCCATCTCGAGCGGGTAGGAGCCCGGGTCGCGGTGGTCGTCTTCGTCGGCGGACTCGGGACGGTGCGGGCCGAGGACGGAGGCGTCGGGGGTGTGGGACATGTGGCGGGCGGGCGAGAAGGCCATTTCGATGAGGGTGACAAGGAAGATGCCGGCCAGGGCGATGGCACCCGGCATGGCGGGGTAGTCCTCGACCCAGAAGGAGCTGAGGCACGGGTTGCCGAGGAGGGTGAAGGCGGTCGGGAGGAGGTGGACGAAGGCGGTGGCGAGAAGGACGCCGGTGCCGAAGTGGCGGACGGCGAAGAAGAAGGGGCGGGGGATGCGGACGCCCGGGATGCGGGAGGCGATGAGGGGGAACGCGCAGGCGAGAAAGGAGACGCCGAGGATGATGAAGAGAGCGCCGACGTGGAGGGGCGTGTTGTACTTGTCTTCGTCGCCGAGGCCGCCGGTCGGGCAGGTCGAGCGGCGGGTGACGCGAGCGGAGCGCTTGAAGGTAGCTGAGGGTGTTAGTGTTGTCACTCATGATGTTGGCGATGGTGAGGTGAGATTGAAGGCAATGAACCTATGGTTGGGATGATGAAAATACTCACATTGGGCGGTTTCCTTGGTTGCAAAAATGAACGAGGCGACGGCCTCGGGACTCTTGAGAGCCGAGATGATGGCTGAGCAGCCCACGACGGAAAGGGTCCAGCTCAGCCAGCCCCAGATGCTGGAGCGGGATGGGTCGGAACCCTTGAGAAGACGTGTATGGTCATCACCACCATGCACGTATTTGTTTCGGGGGTGGAATCCTTTGGATAGACATTAGTTTGGCTCACGTTGTAAAGTAGAGTGAACATCAACTTCACGATGCTGTGAATAAGTCAGAGGCACTGGGGGGTGACTCACCGTGGTTCCACCCTCCCGAAACGGGCGCCCGTCGATCGGGCTGCAGACGCGGTAGGGTCTGGTAATTCATGTCATCACCCCGACCGTCGGATCCGTCGCCGGTGCCGTCGGTGCCGCGGCGGTGCTCGCGGGCGTTGGCGATACCGTTCAGGTCCTCGCAGGTCGTCAAGTCCGGGGCGAGGAAGGGCGGGTTCTGGTTCCAATCGGGATGCTCCAGCGTGCATTCGTCGGTGCGAGAGGGACAGTTCATCGTGGCGGTGGGTGGGCGGCGTGCCGTGGGACACCTTTTGCTTCCTTCAAGTCTCTCTCTGCTGGCAATCGATCTCAATTCAATTCGTGTGTTGTAGGGTTATCAATTGTGTGTTTGTGGATGTACGTAAGTGGTGACAGTCCTGCTTCAGCGTGTTGATCGTAAGAGCATTCAACGACTTCGATGCTTCAGTCACGGGCTCAAGGGGGTGATGTCGGACGATGATGTCAGGTACCCGCGTACCTAATATATGGATGGAAACATAAATAAATCAGTGGCCGTCTTCGGGATCTAGAATTTTTAGGGGCAGGGGTGTCCAGAAGCTGCTTCGGCCAAATGCGGAAGCGAGTCACACAGCCTCAGCTCTCCCCGCCCTCCCTGTTATCGCACCTCGCGCACCTCTCTGGCTGTGGCAGACACTGAGAACCTCTTCGGAACAGGGTGGATCCTGCATCTTCGATATCTGCTCAGTTCATCACGACTGCAGGCACGGTTCGTGAGGTTTCTTTCCGTCTCCAATGCCCTGGTTTGATGGCTCTTGCTTCATGTACATGGCTCGGTGTCAAAACACTGATTCATGTCCATCGCCACGTCTTCAAAACTCTTCATGCCATTGCAGTCCATCGGAATCGAGCGGCTATGAGCATCACTCAAAATGATTGAGAAGGCCCGACACATTCAAGATGCAGGTGTCCTGTTTGATGATCGGGTACTCGGGGCCGCGGTCCACAGGAAGGGTCTCGGCTGTTACTTGGCGCCTGGGGGAAGACAACCTTGCCGGGGCCCGGTAGGCGTCTTTGGGTCCTAGGATTGCCGGTCGGGCCACGGGCCTGAATGTCATTCAGCACGAAGAATTTGATGGAATATTTCTGGTATTTTCAAGAATCGCATCATTGAGCCGCTCATTCTGGAAGATGACTGTTCTCCACCTGCTCTGGCTCTACGAACTGATTCATCTTCATGTTTGCTGAATCCCTACCTAAGCTGACACTGCTGCTGACACCGAACACCTCTCACCACATCCCGCATCTCACACATCGCCCTCCTTTGCGCCGAGGATAACCACAACACGAAAAGCGATAGCATCCAAGTGCCCCTCTCACTGCAACTTCCAAACGTCACTGCATATGCTTCACGCCCTCCCCGCACCCGGTTCTTCCCATCGCTGCCTTGGTCACATCGCGCCGCGGTCGCATATCCCATCTCCCGTCCACTGATGGGCCTCCCACTTACCCCATGGGGCTCAGCGCTCCCGCTCTATTCCGAAGGCTTGCACCCAAGAACGAGATAGCCGACCCAGCGCCAGCGATAGCTACGATAAGTCAGTTTCAACTTCCGACTTGCTGTCCGTAGTTTGGGTAGACTGCTGTTTGTTTATCCGCGGGAGAGGGGGAGACATCAATCAGGTGGGCGCAAGATCGAGAACCCGATTCTCGTCGTTCGTGACCATGGCGTCTTGCGACAGCGCCCAGTCATGCCCTGCAAATGCCCAGGCCCCAAGACGGCTGGCGCCACCCCTTACTGACGCGTCACTTGAGCCATCCGCGGCTGGGCACTTGGCCGGGCGAGCAAAACCACGAGCTTCAATTTGTTGCAATTTGTTTTGTATGCGGTGTAGAGTTCATCCCTTCCAACCTCAGAATTAACAGCATGCTGGGCACGCTGTGCACCGTTATCATTGGAGACGGCGTCCGATGGTTGAAATGCGCCCCGGAAACCGAGCGGCTCGGAGCCCATGTGCCCTCGTCGCATGAAACTCTCAGCCCGCACGAGAATGATGGGCAGCATCTAGCAAACACAGTCCTGTATATACGTTTCTCTCCGCCCGCCTTCGTCACTCCATCCCAAAGCTGAGAGCGAGCGCTCTTGACGGCTGTCAGCTGGAAGGTTGCCCAGACCTGGCTTCCAGCGCTGCGATGAATCGGTGCAAACCCGTCTTTACGTAAGATGCCAAGACACGTCTCGTATGGATGACTTTTGCGGTGTGGGCCAATCACGCCTTTTCCGTTTGTCATCTGGCCAAGGTCGCGCGATCATCATCCCAGGCCCAGTTCACCGCTGGACAGCCATGAGGATGGAGCTCAGACGAGCGTCGCGAGACCTCAAAAGAAAGTACAGGGGTTACCATATGAGGCACGACTGAGGAATACGTGCAGTTTGGGGGACAGGCAAGTGTCTTCCTCACGGGATTACGCAGGAACACCCATGACTGGAGCTCAGGCTCCACCGAAAACACTGAGTGTGTTTCGGCGCCGTACTAACCATCTTGAACTTTCAGCCTCGGTGAAAGGCAGTCATTGAACAACAAAAAGCTTTGAAGAGGCTGCGTCTGCCTACGCCACACACCGACGCCAACTGCTCCTCACTTATGGCTGGGGACCCATGATTGCAGTCCTGAAGCTTCGGTCTGCCGTCCTCCAAGCTCCAAAAGCTGAACGATGTCATCTCAACTTACACATAACAAAGATATGATGGCATTTTACGAACATCTGCATGACGACTGTTATCTTTGTTCTTGTCTCAATTGAGAATAGAGCCTCGTGTTTCAGAACGAAAGCCTGGGTACGCCGTTGCCTTGTGGTCGGCCGGATGCGGATGGGTTATGCCACGCTGAGGCTGCACCACCATCGAAGCCACCGTAGAGATCACCGATGAGGGTTTAAAGTTCTCTCTCAAAGCATTCGGAAATCATGTACCCAATATTGTATTCGCAATCCACTGCGACACATGCTATTCCATCGACTACTACATAACGCCAGTACATTGAATCCCCAAACTTTAACAGTATCACGATATTTAGTAGTTATCTTTCAAAGTAAAATTAGAATTCTCGCAGTGTAGTGTAAACCTCTATAAATTGGATGTAGCTGCGTTCAAAAGGTAGAAGGTGAATACTTTTCTAAATCTACGGTTACTGCAGTCGGGGATTTACAACACCACTTGATTAGTCCTACCCCGTACATTCTTGCACTGACGTCATGCAGTAGTCGGTGGGATACCAAACGGCGAACGACATGCAGCGAAGCGTCGACGTCCATGACCTTGGTACTGTAGTGACAAGACACTTTGTTGCTCAAGTGCGATTGTCTCGGCCTTCTGCTCACCTCGGTGTGGCCGCTCTTGACTTAAAGCAAGTGACGACTGAGGTAAGGTCAGGGCGAGCAGAGTGAAGGAAGCTGCTCAGCGTCTGCGTACTGCGATAGCGGCGAGCCCGAGGTCAGGAAATTAAGCATAGGCAAACTTAAAGCACTACGCTGTGAGCAATTCATTTCAATTTATTTAGGTGTTCTTGATGCCCCTTGAATTTGACTCAGTTTAAAATGTTAGCAGGGTACAGCATCCTTTTTTAGGTGCAGTTTGCTGCTAAATGAATCGCGTGGCACCCCTGGATGCCAGTGTACGTTCAGTACATATACACAGATGATGGGCAGCAACATCATGGGAAAAGCACATTTCGAATTGCCCTGTTTCTCTCCCGCCCGGCTTCTAAAACGCTCTCCGAGATGGAGCTGTTTTCTCTTTTGTTCGCTTTGATCGCTCTTGTAGCCTTTTCTTCCGCTCATCCGGCCGAGACTCACAGCATACACTCCAGCCTTCATCGCAAGCGAGCTTTAGATGGCTACTTCGTTGTAGACCAGGCGGAGGGAGACGAGTTAGGCTGCAGCGACAAACAAATCGACACGCTTTACACGGCTGTGATTGAGGCTAAGACCTTGGCCCGAAGTGCTTCAGATGCACTCGCAAAGCCAGCATCGACGAGCTCTACGTCATTCCTCAAGTGGCTTGGCAGTAAGTTAATTGAAATTCATCACTACTTAGCAACCGATACGCTAACACGCCAAAGAGGAGAACGCCAACGATGCCATGAGAACAGCAATTAAATCCAACAACTACGACCCCGTCGCAAACGTACAGCCGCCACGGGAAAAGAACCGCATCCACGACGCCAACATGGCCGCGCTCAGCCCGCCGGGGCTCACCTTCGTGTGCATCCCCTACGACTTCGCGCTCTGCGGGCCGGGGGCTGCTGCCATCGCCTTCCAGACCGGATCCATCTCGGACAACACGGGTCCCCTAGTCACGTTATGCCCTCCATTTTTCAGCAGACCTACATGGCAGAACATGGTCGACGATTGGCGGACGTCTGGGTGGGATAAGACTGGAAAGGTTCTGCTCACGTCGGGATTTACCTTACTACATGAGCTGCAACACATTCCTCAAATTACCGGGGATCAGAGAAGGTGTACCGACGTCGACAACTACGCCCCGGCACCAAATGATGTTACCAAGGCGTGCTATCATCCTTACTGGTATGTATTCTGTGCACGAGCATAATGGCCGAACGTCTTGCTAATCCGACAACAGCTGTGAACACATTGATGATAAGGACAAGGTGCAAAACGCCCAGAATATGGCGTACTATGCATTAGATACTGTTGTAAACCCTTGAGACCTTTTCTAAAGAGATACCCCTGAATAAGAATACAAAGCGACGTTAAGGTTATGTGATGATACCCAGCTCACCCTGATCATCTCGGTCGCAAGTAGTGGCCCATGAAGTGTTGCTTAAAGTTGAGATCCTAGATAATGTGCTACTTGCAGTCTGAGATCATAGCATCAAGCCCAATGTTGTCGACTCTGGGCTCAATCAAGCCGCTTTCGTTTGATTGCGGGGAACCGCGAGAGAGTTGTGTCTCTGATGACAGAGTCGTCCGGCCGCGCTGGCCGCAAGAACCCATACATGTCGAGTAGCCCTTGACACGGAGATTAACCTATCTCCAGTGCACTTTGAATTTAGACTCACCCGCTGTGGAAAGACTCCGGTTGGTTGGATCAGGTCAACAAATATAATGATTACGAGAAAGTGCCCAACGCAGAGTCGCTGGGTCCATAACTGCGATGGTTTCTGCCGCAAATTACAACAGCTGTACGATCGGAATCTGATTCCCGATTGTCAACACGGGTAGTGACGTTGTTTCCCCGTTGTTTGTTGTCTCTTCTGTGGGGTAATTCGGAATAACTCAGGGGAACCGCGTATGGCTTCTTGTCGTCTCTGGTGATCGCTGGGTAGACCAATCAGAGCTCGCCGTGTCCGAGCCTCATTCCGCGTTCTCGCTTTAGGAGTTGTGGGCATCTCGGCAGGACACGAAGACCATCGTTATTATTGCAATAGGTGTTACTTTCCCAAAAAGTAGAAATACGATGCCTGCCCAACGCCAATCTTCTGAGCGAGAAGATCAGTCCTTCACCTTCTCACCACTTTCCTCACTCAAACCTCCATTGACGACTCAGCATGTCGTATCCAGTCGTTCCCGTCTCAGCGTGCGCCGACGCCAACATCCCCATACCATCGCTCTACGGGGCCGAGATTCTCTCCTTGACGGCAGTCCCAGTGCTGAACTACACCCAGACTGCATCGCAGGACTACAACTACAACCACCCCACTATCAAAGCCGAGGGCGTCGACTTCTGCAACATCACGATCACGTACACCCACCCCGGCCAGGATGACAGTCTCGGTGTCGAGACTTGGCTGCCTTTGAGCACCTGGAACGGCCGCATCCAGTCCGTCGGCGGCGGGGGCTGGATTGCTGGCCGCTTCTTCCTCTCGTACCAGGCCATGACTGGCGCCGTTGCCGAGGGCTATGTTGCCTCAAGCATTGATGCCGGGCTCCGAGATAAGAGTGGCCAAGTTGCATACACCCCAGACGACTGGGCGATGGTCTCAGAGGGGAACGTCAACTTGTACAACCTCCAAAACTTTGGATCCGTGGCTCTCCATGAACAGGTGATTGACAACCTCGGGTGTGTGGATGTGTCTTGCTAACCTTCTGCCAGTCCATCATCGTGAAGGCCCTCACCGAGAACTTCTACGGCCAGAGGCACGAGTACGCGTACTGGAGCGGCTGCTCTCAAGGTGGCCGACAGGGCATGATGTTAGCCCAGAGATACCCCGACGCATACGACGGCATCGCTGCCTCGGCGCCTGCAATCTACTGGAACGAGTTCTTCTCGGCGTCCATCTGGGCACAGACCCTCATGAACTCCCGCGGAGAGTTTCCCGAAGGCTGCGAATTCGACTACATCACGGCCGCCGCCATCGCATTCTGCGATCCCGTCGATGGCCTTGTCGATGGCCTCGTCTCTGATGAATCGGCCTGCGAATTTGACCCGATGACTCTAGTGGGACAGCAGTTCAACTGCTCCGGCAAGACATCCGTCATCAGCGAGACGGCCGCGGTGGTCGCTGCGTCGACCTGGGCGGGTCCGCGCACCACGGAGGGAGACTTCCTCTGGTATGGCCCGAACCTCGACGCTCGCCTCTCCGGCGATGCGTCCGGAGGAGCGCAGACTTCGGATCTGGGTTATGCCCAGACCGCCTGCAGCAACGGCACCTGCGAGGGCGCGCCCGCTGGATTTGGCGACAAATGGATCCCCCTCTTTGTGCAGAAGAACTCATCTGCATCCTGGAAAGACTTGACCCCCGAGAACCTCCCCGGCTTCTTCAAAGAGTCCATTCGCGAGTTCAACTCCATCATTGGGACTGCCGATGCAGACTTGTCTGAATTCCGTGCGTCTGGCGGAAAGCTCATGACGTACCACGGCACTGTAAGTTGATTTTGTCAAAATGGCTCGGCAAATACTAACTGTCTCCGATCCAGGCCGACGGCCTTATTCCCCTGAAGCAGACGACGCACTATTACAAGGAAGTCCTGAAGCTGGATCCCAAGGCTCAGGATTTTTACCGTGTCTTCGAGGTTCCTGGGTTGGCCCACTGTGCTGGGGGGGTGGGAGGGCAGCCAACTGCCATGTGGGATGCTCTCGTTGCCTGGGTAGAGCAGGGGAAGGCTCCAGACTCACTTCCTTTGCAACGGAAGGATGGACAAGGCGACGATGAAGAGCGCTTGCTCTGCCCGTACCCTCAGCGTTCTCGCCTATCCTCGGCTTCGGGGGCCAACACCACAGTCGGTGCTCAGTGGCAGTGTGTTGAGGCCTAATTAGTCTCATAATTAGAGCACTCAGCCGCGCATATCTTATTCAATTCTGTCGTTATTCTTTTCGTCGGGCTTTATTGTGGAGAAGGTGGGAGAGATCGAGTGCTAGATCTTTAGGGTCGGCTTGAAATTGTCTCCTCAAGTGTTTGTATATAAGAATGGCCCTTTTAATATTAAATCTCGCCTCTTGAGGCCGGTATGAAGTGGGATTGGATTTATCAAATAGAAATAAGACGTGTACCAACGGACTTGGTGCTGGTTGAGCGCAGATTTTGCCACCCTCGGCATCGTGGGTCAACTAGGGCTTGATCCGCTGGCACGGTCAATGTGACCTATATGATTCAACAGGACAAACCCGCAATGCTTCCTCTGTGGCAATTTATACGGGGCTGTCCTCGTATGAACACGGATGGTTCCTGCTGACGCCATCCGGTGTTGAAGAGATGTGATCAGATAAGGCCAACGACTGTTTTCCTGGTGTGATTGGGTGGTAGTTGCAACTTATCATGAAGTCGGAGATCTGACGGGGTTCAGCCGTCGTCTCGGAATCTTTGTCGTCGAGATATTAATACCTCAACTCATCTTGTCGCGGCTGGCCCGGGTCTTCGGTAGAGGATTGTGCCGTTGGCTGTACATTGACCCGATCACCTGACATGAATGGAGTCTTCAAAGAAGGCATTGAATCATGCTTTGTTAGTCAACTTCATACAAAAGAGAGGAGAATCACGACGTAAAAGCCCACACACCACATATTCTTCAGCAGGTCGGAGCCTTTTACCTTAAATGCGGAGGCTTTTACTTGAAATGGAGACCCTACAACTCAACCTTGGCTTGGGGCTAAAACGTGACGATGCAGAACCCAATCGCGAGCGAGCGACCGGCATGTTTTATCCTCGGGATTCACCCCGCATTCACCCCCGCATGGCGTCGATCCCGAGCCCCGACCAATGCCCTGTTTGCCCGCCATGTCTTCAAAAGGCCATGTATCCCGCGGGATTCACCTCTGCTTCCCCCGCAACACACCCAAAATCGTACGTTTGTCTGTCCATCCTCACCCCGACCCCCGGCCGGCCAGATTGATTGTGGCAACCCCCCACCACTCACGGCAATGGTGATTACTTTCCGGTGGAAGGAGACAAGACAGTGAGTACCGAATGCGGCAGGTTTCGGATGACACTCGGACACTCTTGAGAGAGAGGCAGAGAGAGAGACGAACAGATCGGGGGCCGCCGGTGGCTAGAGCTACATGAAGCCCCGACGCTGCTGCGACGCCTGCCGGCGGCGTCACCGCAAATGCGTCGTGCAACCCGGCGCAACGGGCTGCGGCGCCTGCGTCGAAGCGGACTTGGAGTGTCACTTTGATACCACATTACGCTTTAAGCATGCACCCGGCAGCTCGAGGAAAAGTGCCTCTGTCGGCGATAAGGCCCAGAAGCTGGAGCAGCAGAGAGGTGTGACTTGACTTTCCTTTCCTGAACATCTTTCCTATCACAGACATCCTCTTGCAATTTATGCACATTGTCAATCCCTTGGCTTCCTTCTCAAACCTTCACATCGCTCCTTTTCGTTACCCCAGGGGCTTATTCTATGTTCAGCCAGACGTAAGAGCGAGGCAAGTCGAGGAGTAGAGGAGACCGGGACCGAAGCCTCCTCGTCACCAGCCACTCAGTCCACCCAGGCGGCCGCGAGGAGTGGTAGCATCGGATCTCACGCGTCACCGCACGGCTCAGCGTCGTTCGAGAGCCAGCAACTTACTTTTGCCTTCTCTCCTCCTGCGGGATCGAGGCTTGGCGAGGCGCCTGCTCAGAGGTTCACCGGCCACGGGTCGCACGGTGATGGGAATGCACCCATCGGGTTCATGTTGAATAGGGGCCCGCCGGCTGAGCGTCCAAATCGATCAAGCTTTGCCTCTAGTCCCGGCTATCTCGATTCCATCCGCGATGGCCTGGCCTCCGAGTCTGGGGGATGGAATCCTGGGGAGGTCCAGCCCCAGCTGCAGATATCGTATCTCCTGGGGGACTCTCCGTCGACTCAGGGCGGATCAGCGCCGCGGGAACGGGCTGAGAGTCTCATATCAGATGCCGAGGTCCGACATCAACCTACAGATCCCGAACACTGCGGCTTCACTGGGCGTCAGGCATATCTATTCCGCACATACATCATGAGGATAGCCCCTTCGGTAGGCTTGACTGACCTATTCTCTGACGACGAGTCATCCCGGTCTGAACTTACTTCATGCAGATTGATGCCTGTCACGATGCCCGCCCGTTCACCCTCGACGTTCCCCGCCTAGCCCTTAGCACACCAATACTCCTCAACGGCATCTTCGCCCTCGCGAGCCGTTTTGATACACAAGCCGACGACAATGCCGAAAAGACTGATCTCGAGAGCACCTACTACCACAACCGATGCATAGAGCTCCTCATCGAAGCTTTCTCACAACCTCCCGAGACCTGGGATTCTACTCTCTTGACAGCCGTCGTCATCATGCGTCTGTATGAGGAGTATGACAACGAGACGGACTCACATTACCATCATCTCCGCGGGACACGAAACCTGCTAAATCACGACGCGATTGCAAGATTCGTCACGCAAGGTGGGCTTGCGGAAGCGGCAAGCTGGGTGCACTTGAGGCAGGCACTGTATGTATTCTTGGTCCGCCGAACACCGATTGAGATCTGCCTGGAGAACTTCGAAAGGTCTTCCACCTTCAGAATGAACGATGACACGGCGCACGCGAACCGGATAGTCTACCTGTTCGCGAAGGTGTTGAAGCTCTTCTTCCCCGATGATGGCACAGGGTTTCTGGCAAGCAGTACCGCCGCCTGGGAGGAGCTTCAGGGTGAAGTCGAGGCTTGGTATCGGGACAAGCCGGTATCATTTCGTCCGCTGTTTTATGACCGGCCGGATCTGGCAAGGGGGAAGCCGTTTCCGGTGTTGTGGATGAGTGCATGTCCAGGTAAGTGCACAAGACCTGGAAGCATTTAAGAATGAGAACGATCACTGATGTCGGAGTTTAGCAACCGTTGGTCTGGGATACTACTATGCCTCAAAGGCCATCTTCAGGTTTCAAGACTACAACAGCTCAAATTCAATGGTCGGTTTCGAGGGCACGAAGAAGCGGTTCGATAGCGAGGTAAGCCACATGTGCTGGACGCCTGGCAGGATCTTCAAGCTAACTTCTCGAAATCTCCAGCGCGAGATAACATTCTACTTGTGTATTCTAATGGGCTTGGCACTTTCAAACGAGGCTGTGAATGCGTATTATCTCCCAGCGCATATGCTGTCTCTCTGTAAGTCCCATCAAGACGAGTCCTTGCACGTTGCTATGACATGCTAACAGTGGTACAGGCGGACATCTCATACGACATCCGCTCGAGAGGGAACACACGATAAAGTACTTGGCACAGGTGAGGAACATTGTGCAATGGAAAACGGGGGCGTTGGTCAAGACGTTGAAAGAGCAATGGGCCGAGCTTGACAGCTTCTAATCAAATGATTCAAATTCATCCGCGTGGCTATGCAATTTGGTCGTGGCGTCGCCCCGACAAGACATTGTGACACATATGCAGTGCTCTTCACGGTTCCATATTGTCTTGACGAATCAAATGCCGTCATTGAAGCTGTAGTGCTTGTCCCAGCGCTATTTATCATTAGAAATGGCTCGTAGCAAAGGGTTGAATGGGAGAACTCACCGTGTCCCAGGGACGGCTCTTGTCGACGAATCGAAGATCTGTGCCAAGTCTAATGCGCCCTTCAGGGTCAAAGTTCTTCGTTGAAGCGTGAATCTGGGGCTTCGGTCAGCAAACAGTGAAGTGACATGAGTGCTACAAGCCAACCTACCATGTGGGCCGTGTGAAAAACAACATCGCCAGCTTCATAAGCAGAGACAAGCCACTTCTTCCCATACCTGCGCCCAAAGTCCGCAGGTCCATCGCAGAGGAATCCTGTGGTCATCATGTTCGCATTGAAGGCATTCCTCGTCTCCTCATCACTCATGCCCTTCGCCTTGGCCTGGGCCGTGAACTCGTTCTCAATCTCCTCGCCGAGCTTCTCGCCGTCTTGCATGTAAATCAGACCTCCGCCCTGGAGCCTGACGTCGCCCATAGGAACCCACGCAGTAACGGAGGTCGGTTCGCCGTAGCGCATGAACGACTGATCGTAGTGGACTCCGATGGCCTTATTCCCGGGGGTGTTGTTCCTCAACAGCGACCTCTTGACGGGGAGTGTGTTGTCTCCCCAACCCGTAAACTTGGCCACAAAGTCGCGGAGGGCAGGGTGATTGCAGAAGCCCTGCACTTTTCCGTCTTCGGACCCCGCATACCATTCTTCCGTGTGGGCCTTCAAAGCCTGGTCGGCGAAGATGGCGGACCGGTCCGTCTCTCCGGGCCGCGAGTTCTTTACGCTTCCGGCGCCGATGCCGGGGTAGTCGCCGGGTGACTTCGCATCGTCAAAGATGCCGTCGCGTAGGGATGTCCCGGGCTTGATGACGCCTGATGGCTCGAGGGACTTGAAGTAGGCTTCGCGAGCGGCGAGGACGTCCTCACGGGGGAGGATGCCTTTGAGAAGGAGGTAGCCGTTTTCACGGTAGCGTTTACGGAGGACTTCGAGGTCTTCTGTGGGGTATGAGGGGATGAGCTGCTCTACTTCGTTGGGTGAGAGGAGGTCGTCGTTGACATGGAGCTGGACGCCGGCGATCGTGGGAGGACCGGCTGGCGTGGGAGACTCTGCATGCGGCATGGTGAGTATCTGTTGGTATCCGTTGTTTGCTCTCAATGAACGGTGGTGTTTTATACGATATTCTGGTAGAGAAAGAGGCACGTGAGTTTGCGCTCGATGATGTGAGTAAAGAGAATTGGATGAAAGCAGGCCCTCACAATGAACCCATCGTGAGAAGACCCTTTAAATAAGTATCCTACCAGCCGCCGGGCATCAACACCCGGCGAATTCAAGAATAGCCATTCCCGCCCGAAATTGACGCCGCGTGCCTTTCTTGGCCATAGGGCGCGGTCCACGAATCTCCTCGAAGAGAAAAGTAATCCGCGGGGTAAAAGCAGAGTCCGCCTCTCACCCGGCGAATAATTGCCTAATCGGGATAGCTCTGACAGCTGTGGCTTGGAATTCTCCCCATTCTCCCCATATTTCCCCCGCATTTTCAGGCATTTTGCGGCGAATGTCCCACGCTTGACGTTATCTGATCCCCACCCCTATTCTTCTGCGATCAGCTACGTGGGATGGCAAATGTGAGATTGCCGAGAGGGACGAATAGTTTTCCAGGGTCACGCGGGTGTGCTAGGTCAGTAAGCGGCTTGGGAATGTGTCTGATCTCCACTGGTTCGGAAGAGGGTTGGAACGTGTGTAGTGCCGGCGGGATTGCCGGGACGGATTGGGAAGGCACTCGCCGGGTGACGGAATCCATGGCCACTCTTCCGGCGGAATTGATAACTCTTCGTCGTCGTCGCCGTAGACTACCATGATCAACCATTGTTGTTGGAAGAGAGAACCTGTTTGAAGAGTGAACCTGTTACGGCATGAATCTTGGCACTGCGTATGACCTCGTAGGAGTATGTGATGGGCTTAGTCACGTCGGACAGAAGTCCGAGCATACTGCATTGCGCTCAACGTGAGTAAAAGTAGTGACTTTGAGAATAGGCCCAGCCGCGGATACTAGGTTCGAGTTTTGGTTCAGGCATCGCGTTCAAGATATGCAGCACGGTTCTTTTGGTTTACCGAGGAAAATCTCAAGAGAGGACTATTTTATTAGTTTTCCAACTTCTCCGAGCTACGATCACTGATATCGGTCTTTGAGTCTGTTTAGCAGCTTGTTACAATTCTTCTGCCAGTGAAATTCGAATCCCAGCAGTTGATTACTCGCTTCTGTGACCGGGGACAAGAAACAAAGCGTGATAATGCGCTTGTTCAACTGCAGCAGAGTACCATTGAACGTGTCTGATGGTCATTATCAAGACTGACAGAGAACTTTTGCCTGATTATGTGGATAAATTCAACTTGAGCTTGACATCCAGTTCGTACCCATCGCACAATGAACATGCGAGTCTTGTGCTGTAAAATTGCGGTCGATTTAGGAGACGGAAAGGTACCACAAGCTACGAAGGTGCATTAGCAAGAAGCCAACGAATTGACTCATCCTGATATTTAGCATTATCTCTTCAAGTTGCAGAGGGAAATAAGTCAAATACGTGTACTCCAAGGTTCCAACGCTTCCCAGTAAGATTGGTGTCAAGTACTGGTATTACCTGGGGCATATAAGTGGCTCAAACACTGCAAGGCCAGATACAACTTCATACGCTCCAAGTATACTCATGATAGTAAAACCTTAAAAGTGATTCAGGAGATTTACACGGCGATCCTAGCCCACTTCCTCTACCTTTTTCTTTGGCCATAGAGATTTCTCGATCCCTAGGCCGTTATCCAGTCTGTCCTAGCCCACGGAAATGTCTTCGTTGTAATCAAACATGCAAAATGTTAAAAAGCGGGAACTAAGACATGTGTTAAGACTACGCCTCAATGAATGCTGTATCCCATCGGCTGCTACATCACTGTAACAGCCGATGGGATATGGAATGACTAGAAATCTTTTTAGGACATTAGCTCGAGGCTGTTGTCCCTCCGTCGCATGTAAAAGTATAAAGCAACCAGGCCAACATGTAAATGCGAGCGTACACTCTTTTCCTCATAGTGCTTTTTCACAAAGACCAACCACGGATTTCCCACCTACTTATCATCATGCAAATCGCCGCATACCTAGTTGTGTTTGCCTCTTTGGCCATCACGTTGGCCACAGAGTTGCCGTCAAAGGTCGAGCAAAGGGCACCTCACCCAGTTTTGGCTGCACGCGAGGTTTGCTGTACGTTCCCGGCTGGGAGCGATCGTTGCGTGAGTCGTGCACGATAAAATTGCGAGTCATTCGGCAGCTGACAAACCACAGTCCTGCAAAGCCAACAGCCGCGCAGTCAGTTAATTTACCTTGACTCACCCACTGCCTTGTGGTAATGCTAATCCTGCCGCAGGACTGTGATAAAGGAATCTGCATCTAAAGTTTGTGCGCGACACAACGGTGGAAGCTTTGCTTCTTTAGGGGACGGCTTCTGTACCAGGCCGAGTATGTCTTCTGCACAAGTTGTCTGTGGCCATGTAATTTGAATATTTGGGACGATTGCTGTTCATCGAAGCAGCTCATCCGTTTTAATTACGGGTCTGAACATGAAAGATGCTTCAACTGTTTCCTACTTTAAGCGCATCGAACTGACACCAATTGTTCTCGCAAAACCCAGCAAAGCTCGGTGAATCATTGCTGTACATTGCCTTTAGGTTGTCCTCGAGGTTGTCCTCCAGTAATACTAGGCCAAGATGGTGATTCGCACTTATCGCAATTAAACAAGTTACTTATATATCCTCCATTCACAAAACAGTATAGCCGCCGCTTTTTGTTTTTTTAAAAAAAGGTTTGGTACGGTTTTTGATGTAGGGTGGCGGGACATCAATCACAGGTTGAAGACAGGAATATGACGTAGGAGATCGTGCAATTTATTGATACCAGTACTCCAAAGGCAAATGATAAAAATGACCAATGTTCTTCTTATGAAAGTTATTGTGTACACCAAGATGCAGTAGCTTTAGCTGGCATTAGGCACTTATGCCTTGAACAGCCACACATGTAATAATCGTGGGATAGCCCACATCCCGGGGGTTGCGTTACAGCACAGAATTTAGCAGCTGCTAACCTGCATATCCTCCCGTCTTCCATCACAAGCGAACCCCCACGAATTCCAAAGCGGCAGCTATCGTCGCTATGCATCTTTGGGCCTATCCGGCCCATATCATTGGCCTTCCTAGGATGATTCCGAATCCTACCACGCAGTGTATGTCTTCCCAGGCTCACTAAAGCACTGTAACCCCCCGGATTCTCGTTTCAACTACCTCCGGTCTGTATTAGAAGCTCTCGCGACGACTTTACGCAGAGCCTCATGTTCAAAATCAACAACACACGATCCAAAGTCATTGTTCTGCCTCACGTGCCAACAAAGTTCGTCTTGCGGATACAAGAACCTCGGTGCCAAGTCGGGATGTGTTCCTATCTGCCCCACTGAGTTGAAGTCTTGGCAATACGACTGAATGGAGACGCTGGAGCCTTCACATGCTGGGAATTTCCCGCTCTCCCTCGTGTCTCCCAGAACCTAAAAACAGTTGAGCTCAAATATCAAAAAGGAAGGACTTCAGTTGAGAGTCATCTGCTTCCTGCTGACAAGTGTGATCTTAGGAAAAGATGACATGCGCAACAAATTGCGCAATTGCGCTCAATGATTCCTTCTCAGCTAACCCTGCCGCCAAGCACGGCGCACATTTCCTCTCCCGCAAACCTCGGCCAGCGAGACACGCCAGGATTCTTTATCTCCTTCCTAATCCCTTCCCCGTCGGCTCGGCCCCAGAATCGTTGCGATCTCTTCTCGCCCAGTCTGCCGAGAGGCGA